ATGTTAGTACAAGTATTTTCGATACTCTGTACAAGAAAAATGTGTACTGGTACAGGTATATTTGGTACGGTAGTATACTTTAAAGTACCTTAGTGAGTATAGATAAACCTTATACTTAGTACGTCAAAATCCGATACGTGGTACGGGTTTTTCCTGTACCAGTACAAAAAGTTAGTCAGCCAGTGGGAGCATATAGAATGTCAGTATATATATACGTAGCTGTAAAAGTTCAAGAGGTTAGGATTTCAGTATATCCACCACAACACAATATAAAGCTCAATACATTGATACGAATCTAACAAGATGTAATGATAAGTGCAGTAGGCACTTGTAGTCACTTTCCTGTTGCGTATAATAATTGGTTTTCACTCGCAAAGAACAATTTACATAGTGAGCCAAAATAACAATGACAATCCCATACATGTATGCAAGTATTCACATATATATATACATACATATCTCCACTTTATTATAAGCGCACGAACTATGCGCGGTAGACGGTACAGTAGAAAGCCATGCGCAGTATACAAATTTAATAGACTATCCGTGGTACTGAAAAATCCTGTACCGGTTGCAGAAATCTCAAGACCTGTACGTTATTTTTCTATGCTCATCACTTTTGGTATAGCTTATTCTGGTAACAACAATCTTCCGTGTAGTTAGAAAATAACTTGAACTTTCTACGCCCAACTATAAATTATAATTTTTAGTGATTTTTTCCGTGTCCAAGTACTGAGTATAGGAATACTCCTATGTTATTTAAGGGATCTATTTTTGGACAGCAATCTTACATGCTTCGCCTTTCAATTTTTTCATATTTTTAAATTTTGACATATTTTTTTTACGTAATAATGAAAAAGAGTTTCAAGGATAAATTTTGTCATCAGGCATTATTATGCATTGATGGGTTATAAATGAATTTTTTTTTCTATTTGAAAACGTCTTCTATTCGAAAATGTTAATTATATTGGACTGTCCAACTACTGGTGCTATTTTTATTTCTGTCCAACTACTGGGTACTTTACCTTACTTAAAAGTTTATAGGTGATCATCAGATAAACTGACTTTTAGAAAAAAGAAAATACATTTTTACTGTGCTTCATTTAATCATAAAAATTATCCTACATATCCCCTTATAAGAAAAAAAATTTTATTTGTTCTTATTAATCTTCTAGAATAATTATAATGATTCGACACTATAAAAATATAAGTTAGAAAAAACGAAAAATTTCTAAATAAAAACAAAAATATTAATAAAATTTTTTTTCTTACGTTTCCAAATTCATTTTAACACTATAATACAGATATAAATTAACATCAAGTTACTATAAATCATCAAACATAATTAGGAATTATGACGTATCGAGCATTTTTAATTGGTCTGCTAGATGCTTAGTCTGTGGCCTTTATAATTAAGCTAAAACCAACTTTTTCTTTCAGACGGCTTATAATGAAACACTTTGATTGGATGTTTGCAGGGGTGCAACACCGCTTACGTTAACAACACTATGGTCCAAGTAGTATTTCCAAACCGTGTTAAGGACTTTTCATTACTTATTTTTACTTTTTTTCTGTTTTTATTCTCGTGCATTAGTGAATGGCTTTGACTACAGCTTTTTATATTATTATCGCCTGTTCTCATCTTTTTTAGTCATATTTTTAGGATTTTTACGTCATCTACAGTATTATGTATAAGATCCGTACATCTACTTCTGGGTAAAAACTTTGTAATAATGCAAATGTAAAAAATTGTTCTTTTCTGTTCAAACATACGTTACTTGAGAATCTGCAGTGGATCTGCATACATCTGTGTATTACAGATGTAAAAGCTTCTGTGAGTCCGAATTCCAAAATTATTTTATTTAGTCATGGATTGTCAAAACTTGAAATACAACGGTAAGAGTAAGATAATTTAGTATTTAAAGGACTTCAATAGTGATCGCTTCTTCTTTAGTCTCAGCCGTCTTTTTTTGTGACTTACACGTTTCACTTTTATAGCATTTTACTGATAAATATTGTATTTTGTAATAATAAATTTGTTTGTTACATGTTCTGATCAATGAAGTTATATTTAGTACAGCAAAAACAGTTCACGATATAATTATTGACCTTGAAACAAACAACATACGAAATCTTTCGAGAGTATAATATGAGCAAAAAATCATACCTTTAATAGTAGTCATAAAAACATTTAAAACATTAAACAGTGTTTCATTTGTTTTTTTATTTTTTTTGCTAAAGACGTAAAAACAGTCTTTGCAGCCTTATATCTTTCTTAAAAAAGTAATGGAGCTTGTTTTGGTTGACTGCAGGTTTCGTCATGCTCTTTAAGGAGGTTCGACAGTGTTGGCTTCAAGATGGCGAAAAGTGGTCCCCCCACCACTCTCCCGTCTAAGAAGAGTGGTAGGGGGACTGCTTTTTGGTCGCGGCTGCGCGACAGCCAAAAGCATCGTCTGTTACGACAGCGGTTCTCAAATACTAGTCACTAGTCATGTATGATGTAGCTATATATATAAACATGTGTGTATATAATATATGTACCAGCTGATTGTTGCGCTATATAGTGGTTAAGTGCTCTGTGTTGTCTGTTCTGTCATTCCTGTCTCCTGTACCGGTGCTGATAACTGAGATACCAAGAGCCAAGCCAACGTTATTGCTGGTACTCATAAGTACTGACCAATGGCTTGACCTTAACTTCTCTTCAACCAACTGTGGCCTTTTTCACCAAGTCAAACGATGAGGTGAGCAAAGATACTACTGTTAGTGCTAGCAGTTTGACAAGTAGCTGCTAAGCAGATCTGACAAGTAAACTGCATATTTCAGTTATAAGCCCAACAGTGTTTGGTGAGTTGCAGTGCTTGTTTTTTTATTTTTTTTTTTGTATATTTTTTTGTCTCTCTTAAATTTGTATATAAATCAAGCAGGACTTTAACGTGGGATTGCTGACAAATGAGTAATTCCCACAAGTTTCCAATCATAAAGTTGTGATTTACTTTTCCTGCAATCAAATCAACCAAAACAAAAAAAAAACTTATCAAAAAGCAAGAGGTTAAAATTTGGTTATATCAATCACAATTTTGGAGGATAATAAGAAAAATCAAGGGCTGATGAAGTTTGAAAAGAAAATGTACCTGAATCTCTGAAATCATCGAATGGCTGTGAATTCCAGTTGCTCCAGAGGCTGTAGTAAAGAGTTTTTTAATAATTATTGTTCACAATAGAGGTACAGAGAAAAGTCACTCAACGCTCTCATAAAAACTTGGTGCCATGTGATGCTAATCACACAGTTAATAATAAAAATGAAGTTCAGACTTGCTCAAAGTTAACAAGTGCGCAGCTCATCATATTCCAAACATATAGTACAGTTGTGGCAGATGGTCTTTACAATTATTCAAATGAAGTAAATTATGAAGGTTAAGAAATTTCATGAAGCTGTAAATGTGACCTGGTCACCTCCAGTCCAGTAGCCTACCAACTTTCCAATTTTGCTGGCTGCAGTAACAGTTGCTCAGCAGTTGGATATCAGTTTTACTATTGTAATGCCAGTTTGGATTTGTATTCTCTCAACCTGGAGGAGCCAGGCTGTATGATACGTACATCAAGATCAGTGTGCCAAGTGATCGAAGGTTTTGTCCTTTTTTTTATTCATGTGTACCTAAAATATTCGTAGTGTTGAGAAATTTAGTATGATAATTATAATTATCATCAAGATTTTACAAAATAATTTGGGGAGCTGGCGGAACGAATCCAACTGGCATTATTGTGAGTTGCTATGATTGTGGAACAATAATAATTCACTTTGCTGACAAGATGTTTGAGAACGACAGCAACTGTTTGAGTAGCAATCCCAACAAACACAAAGGTCCTGTGAGAGCACTGGACTTTAATCCATTTCAGTCTCATTTTCTAGCTACTGGTGCGACAGATAATGACATTTATACTTTGTATATTAATTGGACAAATGAGCCTATGTCTCCTAGTTCCAAAAAAATTTACCACCTGAGGATGTACTAGATGAATCATGGAATACACGAGGTACGTTACTTAGCAACATTTTTTTTTACACAATCATAATTGACATTAGAGCATTTTGTTGTTTACAGTGCAACACATTCTTGCTTCAACATTTTCACTGCGTTGTGTCATTTGAAGAAGAATTAAGCCATGGTTATACTCACCGATGCCAATTCAAGAGCCTCTGTAAGCATTATCATCAGGAATTTTAACAAAATAATTCTTCATCATTATTAAAATATAAGTGAGATGGAAATCAGTACACTAACATCCTGATAAATAGTCACACAACTGTCTCTTGCTTCAGAAGAGGATTAAACTCCAATTATTGAACTGTGGGATTTGAGATTTGCAACCACACCGTAAAAACATTCCAAAACCATCGAAGGAAAGTAATATTAATTGCCTGGAATCATTATTAATCTGATCTTCTCAGTTATGCAAAAGACAATAGAATTCTCTCTTGGAATCCTAATTTCGATATTCCAGTACGTAGCAGTTAAATTTTTTTCGCAACTCTGTTTTTTATTGTGTGATGCTTATTTTTTATTACAAATCTTATTTTAGGGTGGTGATATTGTTGGCTAATTGGCTCAAACAAATCATGGAAACTTAAATGTATCTTAGTGTCCTAGATGAGCTTGCTTGGTTGTGAGTACTACTTCATATGGCCAGGCAATAGTATACTCTCTGTAAGGTGGAGCTGACCATTGATCTGCTGAAACGTTGAATAAAATGTTGATTTATTTCCTGGCATGGACCCATTTCCACAAGTCTCACCGATGATGCAAACAGAAGTATATTATGAAAATAATGCTGTAGAGTCCCCAGTCTCTGGTTTAATGGTAGCTAACTATGCGAATAATACCATAGTTGAAGTTATACCGTTTATTCAACTAACAATGAGAGTTGGAAACAAAAATAAATTAGTACCCGAACACAATAATATACCAATTAAGTCAGACTATACAGCTGAAATTGATGATCAAACTGCTCAATTCCAACCACTCCAATAATTGTAATTAAAACGCTTCCAACTAGTGTTCTCGTAATTTATGTAGCTCCACAAGCTTCCAAAGTAATATTTTGTAGCTTGCTGTACATGCCAATATATTTAAAGTTCCAGCAATCAATACAGTTATTGCGCCAAAATTGTTAAATTACTTGAAAAAAGTAAACATTTGCAATTGAAAAAATTGTTTAAAGAGATGCTACTTTTAAAAATTTAAGTATTAGTTACATTTCAACATTTTGACAAATTAAAGCTATTTTTTTTTTAGATATAACAAACATTTTATTACACCTGGATCTGTCCTTCCTCTTTTTTTCCATTATCCTTTTTTCACGATACTCTATATTGGATTAAATTTTTCTTTGAGCTCATCAATAGAGAAAACATTAATCATACACAACGTTAAATATCAAAAGAAAATTGCAAAATCAACACCTATAGAAATGATGTAAAAACAAAGACAAGATCATTTAAAGAGTAAATAAAAAATAGACAGGTAAATATAGAGATAAATAAGAGGGTAAGTCGAGTTATTAAATTGTATATTCGTTTATTTACCATAAATCAGTTATTAATCATTTTTTTTTTTTTTTTTTTTTTTTTTTTTTTTTTTTTTTTTTTTTTTTTT